TATACACTGAGTATATCAAATGTATTTTGAGGTAATCTCATATATGATATTGAAACTTAATATTTTTTTTTCCAGTTTTTAGAACCTTCAATGATGATGATACCGGTTCATATGTACAATAATAACAAGTATTCTATGATGTGAGGAAATTAATGGGTTGCTGTAATCACAACGATTAGATGTAATTAAAAAATTATCGTTTATCGTTTAAATGTGAAAATGCACTGCAAAAACTAATTATTAAAATTTCCACTTTTAAATTTAGAATATTTTTATACCTGAAATATAAAAATATTATAAAACAAAAGTTTTTTTTTTTACTTATCAAAATTAAAATAATTTTATTAAAATTTTTTTTTTTTTTTTTCGTTTTAAACATAATTTTTTAAACCTTTTTTTTTTTTTTTTTCGTAAAGTTGGTGTCATGAAAACAATTACGGTTTACAACATTCTAAATCTAACGAAACATGCAACTGAAAAAAGAACCTGTGTTAGGAGACAAAATGATTTGTGTATTAACTGAGTAAAATGGATTCTGGCTCAAACAATAATTTTCTTTATTTGATTTAAGCATATTCATATCTTAATTTCTATATTTGTTGAATAACTAATTTGCCTCTTTTTTCTAAGTGTGTTTTTTTTTTATTTTGCAATAAAATGAAATAAGTGCTACTCATATTAATCTTCAGATTACCCACCATTATATTATATTATGAGATAGAATTTTATGGAGCTCAAACAGGGTCTATTTGTATATGGGGACATATCACTTTTTAATAGACTAATTTATATAAAAGTCATATATTTTCGTTAATAAACTACAGTGTGCTTAGGCGCCCTGCTATAAAATCGTACGTAGACTTTAGAAACGAGTTAGTTGCTACCACAATTTCACTTCAGTCAGTTTTAAGCTTTATTGCACCGGGAAAATGACGCGAATTATTTTGAGCATCGTCGTTTGTTTTGTGCTTGGTGTGCGAGCCGATTTTCGTAAGCAAGGATCATGCTTCCATATTTGAAATCCTTGTCAATTTTATCATGTCTATGTTTTATAGCCGCTGATCCTAAGCCATGTAAATATGGCGATTCGGACTGTATTGTAAAGGTGATGAACGACTTGATCAGTCATAAGGCGACGCAGGGCGATCAATCTTTGAATTTGGTCAAGCTCGATCCGCTGGCGGTGACTAAAATGAACATCAAACAGGGAGCCGAAAGTCCAGTTAACATTGATCTAACATTTACGGATAACAACGTTTACGGCATTAGCTCCATGAAGTTCCGCAAAGTCAAGTAAGTGGAGGATCACCGAATAGAAGTCATTAACTCATATATCTAAAATACAGGGGCTTTGGGAAAAGCATTGACAAAAAACACGAACTGTTGTTGAATGCAGGCAAGTTGAGCCTTGTTGGACCCTACAAAATCAAGGGCAAGGTCCTAATACTTCCCATCAGCGGCAATGGAGAGAGCAACATGACATTGGGTAATTATCATATTATGTAAATTCAACAAGCACAAATGGCAAGCGAAATAATATGTAATATGTATGTAATAGGAACCACTCAACAACTATGCGACATTTTTGCCATTCATGATCACACAAATTCATTCAAATTGCACAACAAATTCAATTGTAATTGAAGTTCAAGGTGAAAAAATGACTTGGGACATTTGAGATTGCTGTGTTCATACATGTTGACATGAAATGAAAACAATGACAATGAAATATAGCTGAAATATTTTTAAATATATATAGTCGAATAAAAAAGTTGATCAGTGAAACAGATAGCCAAAACTTGTTGAGTATATAGATGAGATTCGAAATCCTTCGTTTTTATATTGGTATATTGTGCAAGGAGATAATTTAGTCTTTTCATTAATATTAATAATATTTATCTCCCACAGTCAACTGTGACGTTATAGTAAGCTTTACGGGCAAGCCCGTGGAGAAGGATGGCGAGACCTATATGGAGGCAACCAATCTGAAGTTTTCGACCAAGCCGGAGCGTTTGTATTACCACTTCAGCAATCTGTTCAATGGAGATAAGGCCTTGGGTGATAACATGAATGCGTTCCTCAACGATAACTGGGAAGCAATATTTTTAGAGGTGCAGCAGTCGATGCAATCGGCATTTGCCGAAATATTCCAAACGATTATCTAAAAAAAAAAATCAAAGTATCCCTACGCCAAGTTCTTTGAGGAAAAAAAAAAAAAAAAAGTATGTATTATAATAAATTACACAAAAAAAAAAAAAAAAAACACACACACACACACGCATTTAAATGATAGTAGCTGCTATATAATTGACCAATTTAATGGCACTAGGTAAATGAGTGTTTGTTTATACAATAATAGGTGGCGGTATGCCAATTAATCAATTACAATTATCAGCCTGAATACATGCTCTTGGGTCATTAAGCAAATGTATATTATACACACGAATAATAATAATATGTTTACAAATAAAATAAAACCTTGGATTTTTCTTAAGTATTTAAGACCAATAAAACAGTGACTCCTCACACATGGAATAATTGATACGAATAGGTAATTTATTGATTAATAAAATTTATAAATATGACATCATATATTATATGTATATATGTATATTAGATTCCATTATATTCATAAAAGCTGCTTAGTCGAGTATGAGCGACCCTGTACTCAATGTCCCTATTAATGCTATATAGCATATGTAAAGCAAGAGGTAATTATAACTTTTTTTTTTAATTCTTGGTTTACCTGCAATCTGTCTTATATCATAAGCATATTTATTAAAATTAACAGTAACTAACAACTAACCGGACTAACTAACTAACTTTAATTTCTATTTGTCAATTCTGGAACGTGAAATCTTTTTACCATACAATTACTGTTGTCTATTATTATCTTGAGGCATGTTTAAGATAATGAAAACATAAATATTTGTTTATTATTCATATTATTATTCAGCTGAATGGGTTGTAACTAAATGTCTTAGCCACATTTAACTCTAAGCCTTGAACATCATAAATCTATACTTATTTAACTTTAACTTTAACTTTAGACTCTGGCCAGCTTGCAACAAGTTCAGGCGCCAAGGCATGACGTTATTTGCAACGTCACTTTGAAGACACTGCCTAGTCATGCGGTCTGCTTCATAGCGATGGTGTTCAAGACTATTGAACACTATCAATCAATACAAGTGGAAGCTCGATATAATAATCATGATCCACAAGCCTGGCAACCTGGAATGACAACAATTCTCCTTCGGACCGAAGAGTCTTCTTCCTAGCTGTGAGGCTGGTAAATATTATGGAAGCTCGAGGGATTTTTCCTAGTTGGTTTCCGTGGTGGACACAGTTGCTCAACAGAGCAGCTTCATCGAGTTGCTGGCCAACTTTTTACGGCCTATGACAATAAAGACTATGGTAGTGCCCTCTATCTGGACCTCCGGGAGGCGTTTGATTGAGTTTGGCAAGACCCTATTGAAAATCCCACCGGCTTTCCCTGCGTCATATTTATAATGAAATAAAGCAGTAAAATAATAAAATTAAATAATAAATTCAAATTTAAAAAGTTTGTTCGCGACAGATATCTCTTATAAAAGGGAACAAGTAGCTCCCACAGTTTCTTTCCGAAATCAGACCAGTCATCATTTTAGAAAAACCACTTCACAATGGATGTATTTAAAAATTAAAAGATTTCAATTCAAATGCGGCCTAAAAGTATGCAATTTATTTTCAATTGCAATTTGAACATACTTGCATATATAAGTATAACTACAAAATTATTTATTTTTTAGACATTAGAGTTAATATTAAATAAAAACTAATTCAGAGAATAAACATTGACCACTGGAGAATGCGGCTTATTATATCTTCAATTATATCTTGATCGGATAACATTACGATCAACTTGTTAATTTCAACTAAATCCTGGCATGATCAAATGAATCGATTTGACTTTTATTTCTCATTTATTAATCATAGAAACCGGATACCTTAGTTATACTGAACTGGCGCATTGCAAATGGTATTAGGAATTTTAGTCTCTCCTGCAGACACTTCAACGGTAGCAAAAATATTTATCAACCGCAAAAGTCTTCATATTTGTTTCCAATTACATTTAAATTGATCTATTCTCGACTTAAAGCTTACATCTGCTCAAATGCTTTTGACATTCTCAACTGAACAATTGAACAGATTGCGAAATTAATTTGCTCTATTTTCTAATTCAACATCAACATTAGATATATAACTTAATCGTTTTAGAAAATCTTATTATTTAAGCAATGAAACAGTAGACAGAGTATCCTAAATATTCAGAAAGATCTGAATTTCTCACGTGAGTCGTTTGCTTATCCTAGCTAAAGTATACAAATAACGATCTGCTTATGAAGGTTGATGACTTATATATTGTACGGAGACCAATTGAGAAGTGAGTGTTTATTTGTTGACGCAATAACTTTTTTAGTATACATTTTACCCTTAAAAACTTTTTAAATACCGTCTTACTCGCTTAGGCATTGATACACATTTAATTGATTTTAGATGTTGACCAAGTATTATGATATCCGTCTTACCCGACCCGAGGTGGAGAGTGAAGCCTCATCACCTCCCTGGCTTTTTAAAGGTTGTATGATAAAACTACAAAAAAATGTTTCAATATTGAAGTAATCCTGAACATATTGAAAATAGGAAAATTAATGTAACAGACAGAAGAATGAGTAAATGTTAATCATATCATATGACATTAATTCCAATCAAACAAACAGTGAGTGAGAGAGAAAGAAGTGCTACAAATATGCGAAAACCAGATAAATAGTTATATTTAAAATATGAAATATTGATATTTTCTATTCCGGATTAAAACCAGTTGATATATATATAAACACCAGCTTGACGTAAATAGATTTAATAGATTTAATGCCGACGGCTGATATTGTCGCATACTACTTGTAAATGGCGCGACAATATAAGACTGCGATTTCTCTACTAATTAGCTTATTTATTCCAAGTGCAATCAACAGTTATATAGGTTTATCAGTTGCAGTCAGTTAAGAACGTTTTAGGTAGGTCAAGGGTGCCTGGTATATTAACCAGTGGGTTAACAAGAGATTTGGGTGTTCACCGAATTGTAAATGTTCTACAAATTATTCCCTAAATATTTTATTAATGATTACTTAGATATTAAAAAAAAAATATGAGAAATATTAGCATTTTTAGTGGATAATTGCAATTATATGACAGCCCAATAAAAACTGCATTTGGGCTATAAAAATATCAAGATTGTTATTGCAAATAGCTGTAATAGATGAAACAAAGTATTTTTGTAACTTTGATTAACAACATAACCATTACACGTAAGCTGGGAAGAGGGGAAAGCCCGCTTGACATACCCGACTAGATATACCCTGCATCCTGCGTAGAGTTGATTTCAGTTTCGATTTTGAAGGCAAAGGTATCTTAAAATGAAATTATTTAAAACTAAAATAAAAACGACTCAGATTGATCAACGGTTGAAACAATAAAGATGCTATATATATACATATATAACAAAATGTCTCCCATACTTAAGTGTCGGGTATTTGAAAAAGTGTGTACAAAAGCTGCCTAAGCAGACGCACGAAATCTCGATGACTTTACGAGTCGAATGAGTAACTCAACAACTGGGGAGCAGAGAGCTCAGATAAAATTGAAATACAGCAGTATAATAATAAAATATGTATTTTTAATAGCTTGCTCGCGACAGATATGCCCTATAAAAGGGAACACCTAGAAGTAGCTCCCACAGTTTCTCTCCAAAGTCAGACCCGCCATCATTTTAGAAAAATCACTTCACAATGGATATATTTATAGTTTCCCTATTGATCATCAGTAGTTTGAATATGTACTCCTGTGGCTCGAGCTCTGATTTACGTAAGTATTAAATATGGAAATAGTCGATCAGAATCAAATAAAGGTTTAGCCGTCTTGCAGCTGGAAACATTACGAAATGCAAAATTGCGGATGAAAAGTGCTTGTTGGATGGCATGAATTATGTGCTCAATAATTTTGCTACGACAGGCATCAAAGAGCTGGGATTGGTTAAATTGGATCCGTTGCATATCAAGAAGTTCAGCCTTGCCAAAAACCCCAACAGTCCAGTTAGCATCGATATGACTTTCAGCAATGCGGAATTGATCGGTCTCCGTAGCTCGCAAGTTAAGCGAACTTCGTAAGTGATTAGTAATTCCGTGCATATATACATATATATATATAGCCAATATGAGCAGATCGTATTTGATATGATTGACAATATTCGTTCCGGCAGCACTTTCACGCGCGAGCTAAGTCGCCCGATTGCTTTCGAAATGTTTTCACCCAAATTAACACTCAAGGGTCCCTATAGCATAGATGGAAAAGTTTTGATACTGCCCATTGTCGGAAAGGGCGATGCGGAGATAAGCCTGGGTTTGTATGAGCTTCTAAGTTGTAAAACATTTAGTGTTTATGTGATTCATAGATAATGTCAAGGTCAGCGCCATTGTGAAATTCGTACCAGTGTCCAAGGGTCCACAGCAAACCTATGCAAAGGCGATTGAGGTTAAGATCAAGTTGGAGCCATCTCGTGCTACCTACAAGCTGAATAATCTTTTTAACGGCCAGAAGGATCTCAGCGACAATCTTCATGTCCTGATCAACGAAAACTGGCGCGAGGTCTTCAGTGAACTACAGCCTGATATATTCGGTGCTATGGGTCTGATCTTCAAATCGGTTTTAAATAAAGCCCTATCCAAATATCCCCTGGAGCAGCTCTTCTCAGACCCTTAAGTGCTTTATATACTTGCGTGCTGTTGTATTATATTGTAAGAAATTATACAAGAAATTTACTCTAGATTGATTGATTTATAAATGGTTTTAGGATGAAACAAATCTGTTTTATTGTACACATTTTCATTAAGTGCAAGAACATTCCCTAAACTTTAAAGATAAATAATTCATTTTAAACATATCCTTTCATTAAAATCGATAATGTAATATGGTTTTACAGCTTCTGTAAATTTACTTAAAAATAATAAAATTAACACAAAATTAATTCAATTCAAAATTAATTCAATTTCAATTAAAACTAAAAATACTTTCTTCTGCATTAAGTTTCAGTGTTGATTATAATCTATGATGCGATTCATTCCGTTCTTAAATTGGCGACAAATTTGTTGCTTTTCTGTGTGACTTGCTTAATCCATGTAAACAATTTCCGTCTCGCTCGAGTCTCTAAGCCCGATTACATTTGGGAACATGGGAGCGATGATTCACTCTGGGCGGTGATGATGGTGCCAAACCGAGAATGTCGACACCAAAGACCATGTTCTCTATGCCGTCTGCAAGCTCATCGATAAATACGGGTGGCAAAGGTGGCAAGTAAATATTATTCATGATCTTGGGTGGTTGGCACAAATCAATGATCTCGGGTGGGAAATAGTTCTCGGGTGAGTTGAGCAGTGCGGTTAAAAAGTCCTCGTGTTCCTTAGCACAACTGACCACATTGCGCAGCTGATAGTGCTCGGCAAGGACCTGTTCTTCAATACTAAATTGGCGGCACTGATCCGCATGCGACTCTGCGGCCGCCAGTGCCAAAGCATTCTTATTCATCTCCTCGAGACTTGCTGTCATGGTTGCTGAATAACGATGCTCTAGATCCATTTCCCAGTTGAATACATACACGTGAATGTGAGCAGACTTCAAACGCTCTTGCAGATCTTCCATTACTATTTCCATCTGAGCAGCATTCTCTGAGGATGAATGGGCTCAATCGAATTTGGAATCTAATATCTAGTTTAAATAAAAGCTTACCGTTCGCCAAACGACCGATAAGATGCAAATTGCGTTGACGCATTTCCACATTTGTGAATTGCTTAAGAATTCGGAGGCCCTGCGCGGTTCCATTGATTAGCTGATCGCATTCAACGTACTTGGTGTAATCGAAGTGACGATTGGACTCCAGTAAGCGACGCAGTCGTCCAATGAAGCGATCCAACTTGGTGCAAACCACATGCACTTGATGGCGTAGGTTCAAACTTTTCGGCTTGGTGTGCTTGCTGGGCAACTCGAAAACATAATCAGACGGTACCGAGTTCAACTGATGACTGGGAAAGTCTGCATTGAGAAGCTCATGCAGCGCCTTGAACAAGTTGATCAGGCGCAACACAATATTACGCTCGCGGCTGCTTAAATGAATTTCAAATATAAAATTGTTATCGATATCGCTTTGGCGCACTCACCAGTTGCCAAACAGCTCAATCAACTTCATCTGGTCCCTGGTAAGCTCCACCGATATGTTCTCTTTTTGCAGTAGGTTTGCATATTGGATCGCATTTGATTTCAGCTTCTTCTGATGATCAGTGTTGCTCGACAGGATCTGACGCCTTCCCATGAGCCGTGACTCAATGCAACCAAATCTATGGAACTCAAACTGTGGAGCACTCGAATCGAATGCTAGTTCGTGCACTCTGGGGTTAAATTCTTGCAAAGCGCTCTTAGCAGCACCGCCTTTGCTGCAACCCGCAATCTGTACAGGTTGTTGGTCGTCAATCAAGAAGCACAATTCCGAGTAAAGCTTTTGCAAGTTATAGTTTAGCTGCTGATCTTCAGCGTCGATTGTATTTTCATTCATTTCTAACAAGCTTTAATAACTTTGCGCCAAAAAATGAGTTTTAGTAACGCCTGAAGAAAAACCCGCGAGCGCCAAGCTGTCTAGTCTGCGAGTTTTACTCAAGTACTGAACGGAATGAAATCCGCGCGAAAGTTCGCGCTGCAGACAAACAGTCTCGTCTGTTAGCCTTAGTGATGATCGGTTGCCTATCGATATTTACTCATCAGCCATTATTCGCACTGGGCAGCACTTGAAATGTGAAAACGATAATAACAGTGGATAAATGTATCAAAGTTTACAGAGATATGTAATTGCAGGGCGCGCTGTTTGCGGCGCTTTCCAAGACTGATTTACAGTAATATGTATTTGAAGATCTATGATTTAGTTTATTGAAAATCGTGTCTTCGGTGTATTTATTGAATTTATTTTTAATGTTTTAATTTTGTATGATATACACAAACAGTTATATGTTTTACATTGTACATTTTGCTTTTTAATATGTATACTTAATATGTATTATTACTTGTAGTTATATTTGTATATGTGTACGTATTACTTATGCAAATGGTTATGTTTAATATATGTTTACCAGAATTGAAAACAAAACAGAAACAAAACACCATTTAGTTTGGATTAGCACTACGAAATTTGTTTTATATTCTCCTCTGATTGATTAAATATTATTATTGCTGTAATAATAAACAATAGACGATTATAGATTAGTAAAGCTACAACTTAGTGCGCATTCTTGTACTTCAATAAAAGACTCTACATCAAATGGGACATAAACAATAACAATAAATCATAATGGATCATCAACAAACTAGTATTGCAAAAAAAAAAAAAAAAAAAAAAATAGTTTAAACACTTACAAAACATTGGATTTCCACTAATTCATTTTTTATATCACAAGTTAAAATTTTGATTATTGTTTGGTCAATTTTCTTTTTGTTTTGTTTGATATATATGTATGTATGTATACGTAAGTATGTATTTAGTATGCATATGAAATGTATGTAAATTGTATATGTATTTCATATATATATATATATATGTACATAAGAAAATATACTAATGCCGTAATTTAAAGATAAGCACATTTCATAAACATTGTATTATAATAATATTGGTTTTTGGTTTTTTGTTTTTAGATATTTAGTTATAAATACATATGTATATAAATTGGTCTACACTCAAGTCATGAAGTTGCTTCAATTGGTTTAGCGTTAACAATTAGATACATAGTAAAAAGATGAAAGATTTATTTGTATTTTAGAAATTATTGTTATTGTATTTTAGTATTAGATTTAGTATTAAAGAGGTTACACAGAAATTCAAATTCGAGATAGTTGCATGCAGTTAGATTTGATGGTTCTATAGAAGTTTATTTATTGATTATTATGTGGATTAAAATCGTGTTCAGCCTTTGAAAAGGTTCCTCCCTTTCAAAATGAAAACTCAACATAAAATTTGGAATTGCATAGAAGAACTTAAAGATTCAAATCTTGCGAAACTTATAAACAAGATTACCAAAAGCTAATTTACAATATAAAATATGACACCTTCTAGATATAGATAACATAGGACTCAGTGAAGAAAACATAATTGCTGCTATATAGTTGACTTTGGTTCTACTCGTATATATGTCTGTATGTATATATGTATCTGATCGTGTTCAGATATGTATGTATGTATTCATAGATTTGGTTATGTTCGAGTTTCCGCTATTATTAGTTAGCCTAAATTCAGACCAACGACTCTCTGACGTTGCCTTTTACCTGTAAAATAGTTTCAGATTCTGTATAAGTAGGGTATATTTGATATAGGGTATTTAGCTAATTAGTATTTAGTATTTAGTTTGATATTTGAGTAGATATAGGGGCGGGCGATATGTCCTTGTCGTGGTCATGGGCGTAGGTTAGGATCACGTTCTAGGATCGGGTCGCGTTCGCTTCAAGGTTGACTTAATGTTCCTGCTCATGCTTCTTTGTAGGATCGGGTCAGAGTGGCTTTTAGGGCGAGAAGACGCGCAGACTGCGCAACAGGGTGGCCAGCACATTGGCCAGACACTCTGCCTGCAGGGCCAGCTGGCCCGCTCCGATGGGTCCGATCTGCACGCCAACCAGTTCACGAAAACTACTCGCCACATCGTGCACCTTGAGCACGATGTTGCGCGTCTGCAGCGGCGCCGAGGTGTGGCGCGTCATGTCCTGAGCCAGCTCTGTGATGCGTCGGATAGCCGTCAGGCAAGACGTGAGGTGATCGGGTAGGTTTATCAGCGTCATGTCGGACATGGAGGCTACCAGAAATTTGCTGGCTGTGACTAAGGCCAAAGTCTGCTCCGTCAGCTCGTTGCGCGCGCGTTGGAACTTATCCTCATCGATGCTGGTGCCGCCGCCAGCCGACTGGGCGGCCGAGCATTGGGCGGCCACCTGGTCCAGTTTGATCAGCAGCCCAGCCATGGCCACATCCGTTTTGGCCAGCAGCGCCTCGCCGTCGATAAGGTGTCCATTCTTGATGAATAGCTTTTCGCCGTGTAGCTGCTGAGGCTTCTTCGGCAGCGTGGGTTGGCCACCATTGGAATGCGCGTTGGGTAGGCGGGTGGTGGCCGGTATAGGCGGAGATGTGTTGCTGGCGGGTGTGGGCGTGCCATTGACGGGGCGTGGGCGATTGGCTATGGGTGGCAGCGGAGGTTTCTTGGGCGCACTCACCGCCGATGTAGCCGGAGTTGCTGTCTGCGGTGTGGCTGGCTCCGAGCTGGCTGTGGGGCTGCTGCGTGGGGGCAGCTGTGGCGGGCACAGCTCACGCAGCGGCACACTTACCACCGGCTGATGACCGACGATTCGCACCTGCTTCTTGGGAGAGTACCTCTGCAGCAGCTCCGCGCTTTTGGGTGGACGCGCCGGCGGCGGAGTCGTTTGCTCTATGGTTGGGGTGCGCGGTGGCGGCTGCAGTGGTGCTGCTTCCTCGAGTGGTGCTGCCTCTTCCTTTTTGGATGTGGGACAGCAGCTGAATTTGCTTTTTCGCTCCACGGTGGGATACTCAATGACATGCGAGGCCTGGTCCTTGTGGTTGTTCTGCTGGATGCTGTTGTTGCCATTGGCAACGGCCTGGAAAAACTCGCGCTTGGCCTGCACCGAATTGCTGTAGAGGCATTCCTCGGGTCGCTCGGGCTGCGCCTCTAGGTTTGGCGGCGGGGGTATAATGAAGGACATGATCTCCTCGGGTGTCAGCTCCTTCGCGGGCGTTGCTTTCTGCGTGGGCGGCGCCACCAGCATCTGTTGCAGAAAGCTGTCCAGCTCCTCGGCCTTACCCTCAAATCCTTTGGGTGGTGCCGCATTCAGCAGCGACAGCGAGTCTAGCTCGTCGGGCGTCTGTGGTGGGGGTATGGCACGTAGATCAATTAAGTCCGTGTCCGTCTCAATGAACGTATCCTCGCGCACCTCGAAGCCATAAATCTCCGATAGCTGGCGAGCAGCGACATCTGTGTCGGGCACATTGCTGATCTCTTTGAGCTGTTGCAGATACTCGCGCAGATTGTAGTCCTTTGTCTCAGCCCCAAAGTGAGTTCCATCCGGACTGTGCAGACCAAAGCTGCTGCGTTGAGCCAGCTGCTGGTGCTGCTGCTGCTGCTGTTTGCTGCTCGCCTGCAGCAGCTGCTGGGGCCGTCGAGTCGTCGGCGATTGGGCTGGCGAGGCTACCGATTCGGAGTCGCTTTCGCTCTGCGAGAAATCTGTGCCAAGAGCCTGCAAATCGCTCAGCAGCTGACTGAAGCCATTGAACTTCCTTTGAGGCCGTGGACTGGAAGTGCTGCACAGGCTCGGCTTGCGCTTGGGTGTGGCAGGTGTGGGCGGTGCGGATGCAGAGATCGGCTCCGGTATGGCATTGAGACCCTGCGTTATGCCGGTCAGTTCATGGCTAATCGTCTCGGCCAGCAGAGTGAGCGAGTCGCTGTGCTTGAGCGAGGGCTGACTGACGTGGTTGCTTTCCTCCGTGGAGGACACTTTGCTGCTGTTCAAGCTGTCGCAGTCACTGTCGAACTCCAGCATAGCCACACTCTGGCCCATCTGCTGCTGCGTCTGCTCCCGCTGCTGCTGCTGTAGTTGCTGCAACGGCACCTGCTGCAGCTCCTGCTCCTGTTCGCTGAGATACTGTTCGGAGCATTGAACGAGTTTCTGCAGCTCCTGGACTCGGCGCAGCACCTGCTCGTTCTTCGCCTCTACCGCCAGCTGAGTGCGGCTTTCGCTGCAGTAGTTGCTGCCGCTGCTGTCGCTCAAACCAGAGTCCTTGGCCGCCTCCTCCAGCAGCTCGGTGGCCATCACGCTATGCAAGTCCAGATCGGTCGCATAGCTCAGCTGCTGYTGCTGCTGCACGGGCTGCGGCTGCGAGAGCACCGCCTGCTGTGGCATTGGGTGATATGGTGGCGTCATCAGGAAGTTCACGCTGTGCGCCCGATTGTGGAAGGGCAACAGGTAGCTCCAGCTAGCCGGCAGCACCGTGTGCTGCGACAAGAAGGCGGGCGCATTGTCCTCCTAAAAAAATTCACGTTCCCGCAGCACGTTCAGAACATTTCCTGAAAAAAAGGACCCATTGCGTTAAGCCAACTTGAATCTAAGGCACTGTACTGCATTACCTGTCAGCAGGCGGTAGTAGCCGCCTAGCACCAGGCTAAATTCGCACGCATCGCGATCCTCCATTATGAACTTGACAGCCCGATCGCCCAGCATGTAGATCGAGACGCTGCAGGTGATGTCGTCCTCGCGATGCACCACGACATGCGTAAAGTCCTCTATGGCCGAAATGGGCTGTGGCTGTTGTTGGTTGTTAATGTGAATATCATGTAAAAACTACCCATTTAAAATATACCGTTCCTGCTTACCACTGAATTGCGTGCGCTGGATATTTGGCTTAGACCGAAGCGCGGACTCACGAGCAGAACGCGCTCCATGCCCTCTCTTTGGTTTGTGCTGAAACATTTGGCGCCGTAGCTTGGTAAACTAGCGATTATATCTAGATAATGGAGCTTCGCCTGCAAACACGATAATGTTCCATCAAAAATTCACATCGAATAACACCTCCATATTCACTTTAATTTTAGCTTACCTGCAGCTGAGTTAAGACTTTGCTGGACCCCGTCATCTCCGCATTGACCTTCAAGAAGTGTGAGAAGAGTCGACGGAGCTCCTTGCGTTTCATGCCCTCAAATAGACTAACGGGCACAAAGCGTTCCAGACCAAATTCACGTCTAGTAAAAGAGAGAGAGAGAGAGAGGGAGAGAGGTAGATAGATAAAAGTGTCAAGGAGCGGTAAATGCAGATTGTTGTCGGGACACTCACTCGACCAGCTTGACGGTGAGCTTGGCAGGCGCAAAGTTGTTGGCCAGCGCATGCTGATGCATATGCAGAGCGGCCAGACGTAGAGCCAGCTCCGGCTGCAGCTCGGGCGCGAAGCGCTCCTGGTTGACGTCGTTGCAGCACTGCATGTACAGATAGTCCAGTGCGTTCAGATCTCTCTGGGCCAGCTCTGCCGCCGAAATGGGCACGAAGGTGATGCGGAATAGGCAGCGCAGCTTGTGAGCGCCCGGTCGGGCAGCAATCTGCAAAGGCAATACAATATGCATTACAGACAAGCAAATAAATAAATGGATGGTATCGGACGTATACAAGTTTCCTCAATTCAAATGTAAGGTCTCTTGAGATCGGCCTGTTCATACGGACAATAGGGCGGACGTAGTGGTAAAGCGAATCAAGACTATGTATATACACTTTACAAGTGGATCTATAATAGTCCGCCTATTGACTTACCCGTGCCAATGACTCCTGCGGGTCGAGTAGCGTGAGCTTGTTGCGTTTCAGACTCTTGACATGCTCTAGCACCAGGCTGAAGAGCTCACCACAGCACAGGCAGAGCTTGTCCAGCAGCGAGCTAACCACATCCTGTACTGTTGTGGTGGCATCATACTTGAACGACTTGGTCTGTCCGTTCTCCAGGAACACCTTCAGCACATTTGCCATGGGCGGCACACAAATGTCGCCTAGTGAGAAGGCCGAGGGCTGCAACAAAGTTATCGCAAGCAATGTCATAACAGTCTACAATGGACTCATCCAGGATGAGTTTGACTTACCGGAAACAGGGGCGCTCCATTGACGCACACGCTCTCCGCGAATCGAACTCGACTCGGACGCGTGCGCAGTTTGGCCCGTTTGCCGGCGGAGAGTAGCGTCGACTTTCGTCCGGGCAACACGCAGTGCGCCATGGGCTGGCAGACGAGCAGCGAGACCTGCGTCTCGCAGGCCCGCACCAATTGTATGACATGATCCCGTGGCGCATCCTTCACATCCTCCCCATTAACAGCCAGTATCTGATCACCTGGCTGCAGCTTTCCTATGCTGGGCCCGCCTTCGGTAACAAATCGCACAATAACCGGCCGCTCGCTGCCCGCCACAAAGCCGAAGCCGAGACTAGCGCTGCGTTGCAGCTGCACGAGCCGTGGCTCCGGCGGATGCTCGTCCCAGCGTATGCATTCCGGCGCCTCATACGTAGTCGTCTTATTCAAATGGCTATGCGGAGCGAAGGAAATTTTAATGTTGGTTATACGCCACTAGGATGTGTTGGTTATACACCACTTGGATGAGGTCTACTTACTTGATATAATAGGAACGACCCTTGGAATCTATGGCACGCTCCCAGCCGTAGGAGAGCTCCTCATGCTTGCTCCAATCCTCGCAGGCGGGCAGCCAACCAGATGACTGCGTCAAGTGGCTATCAGAGAAATGAGAAGAAAGGGAAAAAATGTCAATAAGCAACTGTCAATTTACAACTGAGCTTAAAATACTAGTTAATGATTTTGAATGAATCAATTGATATTTGTTTAACTTTATTTTAAATAATAATCGGAGGTACACACAGTCGCTTATGCTCTGATTATAATTTGGTTATTATCTTAGTGCCTTTCTATGTGATTCTCAGAGATGTATAATTATATACTTCCTCTCCGATTGCTTTACGATCTAAAATATCTAGGCAAACACTCAACCCTGAACTTGTCGTCAAGCAATTTCCCCCTCCAATTGGACTATGGCCCCATTTTTGTGTGCTGTCTGGCGAAATGCATTTCAATTGAGATTAATCAAACCTAATTGGGTTATTTGCGCGGCTTTGCAACAAAGTGCAGCCATAATCGGGCTAACTCAGGACAGTCCCTGCCCCATGTCCATGTCCATGTCCATGACATAATCGTGCGCTCAAGCCAAGCCACCTTGGTGGCTTCCGTTGCTGTCTTTCTTCATTTCCTGGGTGCCACACAATTGAGATAATTAGTTTTGCACTTTGTCCGACGGCTGAGAGGCGAGAATCGCGACCCGAGAGCCGACAGCCGAGAGCTGGTTAGCACAGTAGCTGGTGGAGCGCATGCCAGACCCAACCATTGTTCATTCATTCAGAGAGGCAGGCTGTCTACCAGCAACCCACCCAGCAGCCCATTTGCATACCCTTATGCCGCATGTGCCATACTCGTCCGTGCCCTGAGCTCTTATGGCATTTGATGTGCAACAAAGTGTAAAATTATTTAATAGAATTTCGTGCATAATCAATTTATGTGCAGCAGCCAGGCATTCAGTCAGAGAGAGGCAGTCAGCCAGCTCGACAGTCCGACCCGATCCTTTGAAAAGGACACACTCGGCTGAAACAAAGGCCATGAGCGTGGGTGTTTGGCTTATTAATACTCTGCAAACGATACGGATATTTTTTTTTATATATATTACATATGTTTTTTTAGTATTTAATATTTTTTTATAAAATTATTATATAATTTGACATCAGCTGAAATTCAGAACCCAATTATATTTTATTCAGTAAATAATACAGATGCATTATCATATACAAATTTAACTCTGAATATTTGATTGCTTGGTACTAAAGAGTTCAACATTTTCTGGATGCATCAATAGTAAAATTATATTAATATATTTGAAGAAGATGTATTACGAATTGCATTATAAATTCCATATACCTTCAGGAATTAAGAGTATTTTAAATGCCAAAAAGCCTACGATAATTAAGTTAAGACACAATGCGAAACTCAATTAACCTATATAGCAATGTACATATATGTATACGAATATATATTTCTGGGGCTGTTTCGACTGAAAAATAGGCTGTAAACAGCAATGCTAACTTCAGGCTTTGTATTGTTAAAAGCCAATTATAAAGAAATATGAATTCATAAAGAAACATGCAAGCGGATCGATTTAAGGCCATGCAACCCCTAAGACTGAAAAAATACCAAAGCTAAATCAGACTATAGCAGAATCATGTAATAATAATTTTATTATATTATATAATAAATGTGCATATCAATATGTGTATATTATTGTTTGTATTTATATTTAAACACACATATAAATTGTATATCCTATTCATATGTATAACGCATTTTAATTATTTAAAAATAAAAAAAAAAATAAACAAGTAAGAAAGCTCTAGTCGAGACTGCTCGACTAGGAGATACCCTGAACCCTCTAATCTGATATTCTAATCATTCTGCACTTTTGTGCACACATACATACAGATGCATCCACACGCACGCATAAGCCTGCGCTCTGCTAACTGCGCAGTAAGCAGCGACTGCGCTTGGGCTGCGCTGCAGTGTGGGCAATATTATGAGAATTTATTTGTCGAATAATTTCTTTTGTAAACATATGATCTTAATGAAACTTTCAGAGTGTAATCATATGGTAAATATGTGTGTACATTCCAAAGCACAAGTCTCTAGTACTTGAAATGCGTTTTTTACAAATTGGGGGAGAAGGGGGCGTGGTATCCAAAATCTGTAAATTACAAAATCTTTGTATCGATTAACTTTATATACAACACAAATTTGAAGACTCCAGGTCTAAAAATGTTCAANTAAATGCTGTAAATAATTCACTTACTTGCAGTAATAAAGCCTGCCATCCTTTGCCACATGCACTGTCCAGCCAGCTTTGAGTTTTTCCTGGACTGCGTCCAAGTGGCGATCAATTTCACCCCAATTTCCGATGGGAGCGTTGCCCGCATGGCTTGGTCCCAAAATCGGGCCATAGAGGGCGCCAGCCCCGAAACCCGTGTTAACGGCGTTCACACTGGCCGCCGCTGTTGTTGCTGTCGCTGTCGCCGTCGCTGTTGCTGTCGCTGAGATTGCCGTTGTTGTCGTCGTCGCCGAGGCTGTTGTTGACGTCGCTGCTGTCGCCTGTGTTCCGGTCCCCGGCAGACTTCCGGCCGTTTCTTGTGCTAATGTCGCGGCAAAGGCGGCTGAGGAGTTGGTGCGCAGAGCTGTGTGGGCGTTGGCGCCGCCACCGCCGCCGATGCCTCCGCCATTTAACGTTTGCAGCGTCGTCAACTGTGGCGATGATGTTCTTGTCAGTAACAGAGGCTTGGATCCGCCTACGCTGGACGCTGAGGCGGTTGTTGTGTTGACATTTTGCAACGGATATACATCACTATTCGAACGCCCCGAAGGCAGTAACATCATTGAAACACATTCGCTGCAATGCAAGAAAGAGAGAGAGAGAGAGAGAGAGTGAGATAGCGATGAATGGGAGTCGAGGCGCACATATTTTACTCTCGTGAGAGTTGGCCACAAATCACATTCCACAACGTTGACCCACTTTAGCAAACAAGCTCGTCTGGATAAGCTGGGTCGGGCTACGCCTGGATGGCCCATAAGTCAACATATCAGCTGCATCTGCATTGGCGTTGCCTTTTGCGTCAACGTGTGGCAGTTGCAAAACAGGTCTCTCAAATCCCAGACTGTGACTGCGACTGTGACTGTGACTGCCACTGAGATCACTAGCAGATACACTGTGGGATAGGTTCAGGTTCAGCGGCAAACTTGCTCGGGCCAAGTTGAGCGCCTTGCTTGTAATGTTATGACACAATTTCGGATTTGGACTTTGCAGCTCTTGCACAAGTGGGAGCAGGACGGCCGCTAAACTAGTTCAGCGGAGAGTCAATGAAATGAATCGGAGCAACTAGTATAACAGATCAAACTGTCTGCTTTATACAGTTAGCTTTAAACAAACTGGCTCGAGTACCAAATTGATTTTGACTCAACTTTTGAATTGGCTCACTGGATCAAGGACAGCGGGCTTCATAGCTCCGTTAACATTTATTTAGCTTTAAGGTTGATCATATTGTAAACAGCATGCGCTGCTGCCATGATTATAATTTGCCCAGCAACCCAACTGCAGTGCGCGAAAGCATTTTCAGTTATTTAACCAAAAGCAGCCAAAAGGTGTTCAGCGTAAGACTTAAGCTCGACTAAATCGGCTTTAATGCTTGGAGCTTGGAGTTCTAATGCTGTGAAGCGCTTTCAGGTAATTGACCAAAGCTCTTAAGCGGCTGCCTCAGAATTAGGTATTATATACAACATATTGTAATCTAGCCAGGCTAAGCTGCTAGGCCTTTTAGTTCTTTAAATTATACAAAATAAAGTTGTGTTTGGCAGAGGCTGAGAATTGGTAACGGATATTTTTTTAATTTATCAGGGATAAAAATAAGATTAAATTAAAACTTAAGCACTTGTACTTGGGGCCTTTGGGCGCTTTGCTTGTAACGGTTCTTTTAATTATATTAAATGTTTACCAAGCGAACGATATTTAACTTTTGAATTTATTTCATAGTTTCAACAGTAAAACTTTTTACCATTTTGTTTACTTTGGCAGAAAGTTGAAAAATTTTAAATCAGGACTGAATGCTCTGGATATTTTTTAGTGCTTACATCAGCTGCATTTTTCTAACGAGTTTTGCGTTTGTGGCCTGCACAGATAGCAACAGAGATATGTCAACGCCCGGATGAATCCAAACAAAGAGCTAGAGAGTGACAACTAGTCAAAACAACAACAACTGCAATGGAATGTATGTGACTGTTTGCTTTCATTCTGGCGAACTTGAAGTCGGATCTGCTTTTGGAGTAGTAAGTTACAGAGAAAGAGAGAGGGGGAGGGGGAGACATAGCGAGTGAGAGAAAGAGCTGTGGCATCAATAAATGCGGCACGGTAAGCGGAGCGCAAACAGGGCGATGTCCATTAAGCAACGCCGTTAAGGACCAGTAGCTGGCGAAGACGATGATGAGCATGATGAACAAAATGACGACGACGATGACGAGGCAGGAGGCAGAGCTAAGTAACGGCTTGGCAAACAACGGCCACTGCTGCCAACTGGCAACGACATGGTCAAGTTCTCTCCTCTGCTTCGAATATAATTTAAAATTTTTTTCTTCGTTTGTGCTGTAAACAACTTTACACATATGCACATGAAAGAGAGAGACAAACACAATAGAGAGAGAGAGAGAGAGAGAGAGAGAGAGAGGAGAGAGAGATGGGAACTTTATACACATACACTTATAAGTAGATAGAGAGAGAGGAGAAAAACTGGAGCATTTGAAAAATGTTTTGAATTACATTTTTTTTTGTCCAGCGCTTTTTGAATTTGTCTTTGTTTGGAGGGGGGACAAGAAGACAAGTGCGAAAATGTTGATAAAGTTTTTTTTGTAGCTTATACATCAGCATATTTGAAATGTTTTGCAAATAATTTAGCTTGTGCTGCGCCTTGCCTCTCTCTTCACTGACATTCAGAACATTTTAAAAATGTCTGTGAACAATTTCTTGGCCAGCAAAAGCTGAAGAATAATGCTAAAGTAGCCGGTTAAATAAAATGCGCTGTTTGATAAAAGGCCAAATTTTAATATTCTGAAATTTAATACCAAGTCAATTTATTCAATTACAATTAAATTAGATTATTATATATTGATTAAATTCTATAATATTCAATTTTTTTTAGCAAACTTATAGTCAATATAATAAATAAATTCTCTTGTTCATGTTGAGCCAAGTTAAGCATATCTAAGTTTATTTAGTCAAGGTTAACAAACAAACTATTCAAACTATTCAAACTAAAATCGAAAAGGTGTACTAACATTTTGTCATGTGGTTGCAGTAAATGCCTTTGTGCTGAACCTAAGTGTAAGCGATACGAGTGCTAGATACATTTGGTCACGGAGCTCAGCCCGGAATGGAAAGGAGGCGTTGGGGCAGGGGAAACACTTCCAGCGAATGATTTGTGTCAACAGCAGCGACAGCTGTAAAATGCTCATGCAAAGGCCGGCAAGCAGAAAGAGAGATCAAAACAGAGAGCAAGAGACGGAGAGAGAAGAAGAGCAGTAGTTGGCCAAGAATCAAGCAAGACCCGGCTGTGGACAATTGTAAAATGGCGTTGCGGAAATTGTGCGAGCAATGAAAAGAAATGAAAAGATGTCGTCGACTGTCGACACCTCGTGATGAGGCGATAAAAAATGTAAGCAAAAGCACAAAAAAAAAAAAAGAAGAAAAATAGAATGTCACAAATTACATCGGCTAGCGCCATGTTGAATAGCACAAATTGCTCCAGTTCCATCAGCCACACAAAAACCAACCTGTGAGAGCTCTACAGATCCCTTTGCCCCACTCTATCCCCCAATTGAATGGAGAGCCCCCTCCGCCTCTCCATTCAATTATCAAGCAAAAATCTGCACAGCAAAAGAAATTAAACACAATTAGTATCTTTGTCTCATTTCTTCGTTTTTATTACTATTTGTACTTATTAAATACGGGCAGCAATTTGCCAAGCTGCCATTTTCCATTATCACACAGCATGGCGTGGGGAGTTCGCGGGCAATGCTATCTATAGATAATGCTGCATTATGGAGCCCCGTGCTCAACATGGCGCTCGTTACTTTTGCTTTTACCAATTATGCTCCACGTTGCTCGCATTGTTAATTGAAAAGAAATTACAATAATAAAATAATATCAAGAAATGAAAGTTGTCTAGCTGCTGCATGGTCCGGTCAGTATACCCTACAGAATATTATAAATAGATGGAAATCCCACTTGAATAATATCAATATATCAAATAATATTAGGTCGCAAATATCTTATTATTTTTTATTTTTATATTCGATTCGAACATCAATTTCAGTTTTTGTGGTCGTCCATAAAAAACACATATCAGCGACGACAACGACACTGAGGACCA